TTAAAATGACGTTGGCGGCCATAATGGGTGAAGTTTCGCGCGACGTTTCGTCTTCGATCTGTAGCAGGATCGAAAGATGGCGGGATACTCCGATACTCTGTTCCGGGATTGGAGATCGATCGATCGATCGACCGACCGAATAAAAGGAGAACGGAAACGTTTACTTTTATTTGGAAAAATTGCAACGGAGAGACGTCGCGCGTTCGCCCCAAAGGCAAAAGAATCGTCGATCCAGAACTGATACGCGCGATCGTGACAGGTTCGCGATCTCGGTTAAAAATCACAAGTGGATCACCGATACAACTCTCAGTCGGCTTCTCTCGCAAATTGATAGCTACCACTTTTACACGTGAACACGCGGAATGAAAATTATATGTGCGCAGATACGGTAAGTGGGCGGTGACATAAACGCGAGTTCGCGCGCAAATAACCGAATGACCGATAAAGAAGATTGAAGAAGAGTGCACCGATATGATGGCCGTTATGTAAACGTGAAATGTACACGCTGGTCGCGCGAGCTTGAAAAGAAACGCTGCTCACTTAGACACCGAAATTATTTTCGAGAATTTTGAAACTTAACTTTAAAGGGATCATGTATTTCTATTAAAAATGCTCTGCGTCTCTCTTTGGGTTAGCCTTTTCGGCGAGGTTTTCCTTTTCTTGCAAAATGCAGACGGTCGCTCGTGCGAAGATATATTTTCCCGGGAGTTCGTGTTAACAATCGCGACTTATGAATCTCTGACGTTTCATCTGGAAAACAGTGCTAGCTGTGATAGCCCGGGTTCTCATACATCGTGCGCGATCTTTACCCCGTTTGATCTTGCGAAAAGATGAGACAATTAGTAGATTTTCACGAATAAAGGCGAGCTAAGGAAGCGAGCGCGGGAAGGAAAGCGGCTATGGAAATGATTATGAAAACGCATTGAAATGAAAATTGAAAACGCCAATCGTAATATTCGTCTATTGTCTGAAAAATAATTTAAATGTGATAACTCTCCTGGGGAATTGTGTGTGTTCTCAGCGTTTATAATCAGGCAAATTTTATTCTCTTCATTTGGCGAAAATCCAGCACCACGTCGAAATGCGTCGCGAGAGAAAGGAAAGGAAAACAATGATTTGCGTGGGCGTTATCCGGATGAAAAAGACACGAGCGTAAATAACCATAGGAAAAGAAACGGGACTGGGGAATGCCGACGTGTCGGTCACTAAGGCCCCGCCAGCTTTCTAACGACAATCACTTTTATGTAACGGCCATTATTCGTCCCTTTTTATTACAACAAAGGTAAATACAAAGACGCGCAGCTTTCGCTATTCGAAATTGCGCCGCGGACGGTACGCGATTCCGTACCGTTTGACAAATATTCGTGGGGCAATAAAGATCAGAAATATATCGAGGATTAGTTATACATGGGAGATAACCTTTCGGAATTATCCGACGAGGGACTAGAAGACCTCTTTGGCGACCAACCCTTCATACCGGGTGGCACTGATAAATGACGCCGTTTGCGTCAAACTAAACTTATTAGAAAACGGTACGATAACGGAGTCATTTGAATCACCCTGTAGATGGTCGTCGACTGTGACTTTGCGATCGGATCCTAACGATATAATATTCTGGAATTTCTTCAAAAATATATTAAAAAAAATGTCTAGATATATAGTTAAATAAATTTAATGTCTGATATGTCATATATGTCGAGTATGCAACAATTTTAATATGTAACATAAGTTATATATGTAATAATTATATCATTCAAAATTGTCAACTTTTATCCAATTGGATAATATTTAAGTAATCATTTATCAACAGTGAACAAAATTAAGTTTCAGTTTACAACTCCAGAATATACTTCCAATGAAAACAATCTGTACACAAATAATTAATAAAGAAATATTGATTTTCGATCGCTTCGTATCTAAAACTAATTATTTTCCACGACATTTTTACAATATAATTTTCCTTATCTTGCTACATTACGCTCATAACTTTTTACATATAATGCAAGAAAATCGCACTACATATATATTTTACAACAAACGAGATACAAAAATAAGTGGCGATGACTTTCGAGTCGGAATACGCCTCGATAGAAATTTAATTAACTATACAAAATTATTTTTCAAATTTCGGCTACACTAAATTTTTTTAACTTAGTCAATTTCGAGCTTGTACAATTATACAAAATATATAATAGTTATAATTACTTTTTAACAAATCAGGAAGCATTACAATTTCTTTAATTTTTAAAAATTGAATAAACAAGAGCTTTCCTACGAAAAGTATTATCTAGTAAACAATTTTTTCTTTTTTTATATTTATTTTGTAATTTTCTGTTAAAGAGAAATCAGAAAGTTCTTTGTTGATTTTATATAGAACTACGTATTGTTATTTTCGTACACATAGTCTGCTATCGATAATAACGGAAACGAACGAGAGAGTAAGGGGAGTATGATACGAGCGGAAGTTATCGTTTCAATCCGAAATAAGCGGAAGTCGATTTTAGTCCATATTCTGCCTCTTGTAACGGAAATTCGAGATATTCAACGAAGGACGATCGTCGCCTTAATGACAAATATATTATACACATCACACACTCAACAAAAATTATATATGTCATACATAAATATATTTATACATATATATTTTTATATATTCACATACCTATATGTATAAATATATATATATATATATATATAAATATACAAATATATATATTTATATACGTATAAATCATTTAAATTGATACAATTAGATATTTATTTACAATCGCAACAAGAACACGTAACAAAAGGTAAACTATAGCGTAGAAAGAGAGACGTAGAACCAACGATTTCAGGTACAAAATGAGATTAATCGATTATGTACAAATTTCACTTGTAATTATTGTAAACTGGGGAAACGCCATAAGCATTCATGATACTTACTTACCGTTTAGCTCTTTGGATATTTAACTGATCAAACTGTTGCTGCCTCCCCCCCCCCCTCCCCCCGATTAAAATCCGGATGATCGAATTCAGGCTAATCGAAAAATGAGCTCGGCGCGATCGGCTCACGTACAGTTTGTATACATACAGGTGTTCAACATTGCGGCAATCGCTCGGTGAACGTAAATTACCGGTTTCTCCAATTCCCCCTCTCCCTCTCGCTCTCTTTCTCTATCTCCTTCCTCTGACTCTCTTTTCCTTTTTCCTCATTTTCCTCACACGTCACGATCGGCCACGCTTGATCTCGCTGATACGCACAATCGTGCAGTAAAGCGCTGTAGCGACGATTTGTACGACGATTCTTATACTTTTTAAATATATAAGCCAGCGGCGCAGATTATTTACGATCTGAAAACGCGATATTCGCGCGTAACGAATAAAGGTGAAATCTAACTCAAAGATGATTTCTATGACGATCGGATTCGCCGGTTTCCTCCACTTTTCACTTTCGTAAGACGGGCACATAACCGACATGTACCGACGTCCTTTTTTTTCCCCCATCACTTTGACGGCCGATCGCGACAACCAGTAATCGAGAGAATCGAGCACAGGGAGCCTCGAGCGTGAAAAAAAAGCCCGCGCGTGCGGCGACTTTCTCTCGGCGCAAGTGTGACAATCGTCGCGACACGCGATCAACAGAGCCGAGTTCTAATCTAAATATTTGATAAGCGCGACTAAATCGAATTGGTTTCGCATTCCGGGAGTTCGTCGGAGGATCGTCGAGAAACCGATTGTCATCGTGAGCAAGAAAGACTCTTGCTCGTCGTTTTTGGCGGCTTACTTTATCGATTCTTCTCTACACTTACAATTTATCAATTACACGCTAGAGAACTCGTATATATATATATATATATATATTGATTTTGGATTCTTGGAAAAATCTATCTTGTTCGTTTGAAAATATTTTCTGGCCAGTCTTGCAAGAAACCTGTATAATTTACAACAAAAACTAATACCGATAGGAAGAGATATAAGAATGATAATAAGATAATTATTTTGTCGATATTTCAATCTCAACGAGGCGATCGTGAACTTGAAGAAATATTTATTCCCGATTTCTCTTAAATATCTTAGAAAGAAACTTGACTTATTATTACAGTCTCGTTCACTTTTGATAATGCTTCTTTCTCGCAGAAGCGCCGATGCAGAATCCTTCATGCCTCGAACTTGGATCTTTCCATGTGTTCTTCGCGGGCGGATCGCTGAATCGCGTTTTCGCAAGATTCATCGCCTTCTGACAAGCGCCTTCCTGCTCCGGATCACCCTCGAAGAACCGACACATCTCTCTCACGGGCACGGCTCTGGCGCCTCGATTGAGATCGTGGAGAGATCTAGCGCGTTGCTTGCCTCTCGGACTGGGCTTGGAAGACGTTCGGCCGAGATCCTCCGTGCTTCTGGCTAGACGACCGCCTAATCTCGATAGGGATTCGAATAGAGTCAATTTCTCCCTTACCGGTACGTAGTGGTCCACCCTCTGACATCTTTCTAGAAGCTTGGCGACATCCTCTTCGCAAGGTGACATCATCAAGGCTGACGGGGAACTCGGTGACTTCGGAAATACAATTGGATCTATAGATCTCAGGCATGGTTGTGACGACTGACGAGGAACGGGAATTCTGGAAGACAAAAGAGCCAAACGTTCTTTTCGTTCTCGAAGAGTTTCCATATTGCTTGTAGTGGTGGTGGTGGTGGTGGTGGTGGTGGTAATGGTGATAGAGATAGTGGTAACGGTAGTAGTGGTACCAATTAATTGCTGGGTTTGCGACAGCTGCCCCTTGTCCCTCTGAAAGATCCTTCTCTCTCTAGCTCTACTTCTCCTTTCATTGATGTCCGATTTGAGTATTCCAGGGCTACCGCTTCCATTCTTTGGGCTGTTATTATTATTTCGCTTGTCGTCCTCGTTTCGGTAATTTTCCTCGGTAAATCTCACCGTGGAGGACTCGTTTGATTTAAGTGGAGGTAATCGATCGACGATCGGATTCTCATTTTGCGTTCGCGTGTCGATCGACATCGTGACGGCAAGTTCCTTTTTGGATGAGCGCGTCGGACGGACGTCATCGTTATCGGAATTGGCGGAACAGATCCTGTTCCTACTTCTACCGTATATCCTCGGCAAATTGTTGTTCTCCTCGGCTCTCGCCTTTCGCCTAGCGTCTTCCTCGAGCACTCGTCGACTTCTCGCTTCATTCTCGCGTCTGCGAGCCTCTTTGTACCTCTGTATCCTCTGCTCTCTCGTTTCTGGTTCCGGTAAGGGGATGCTGCGGGAGTCCACTGAATCCGCGCTGGACCGGCATACGCCGCCCCAAGGGAGACTATCGTCGCTACCCTCGCTGCTCTCGCTGCAACCCCACGCCCTGCTGACCGGTTGATCCTTGTTGCTTATCACAGTGGGTATGCTGCGAAATTCTCCCAGGAGGTCCTCGTCGCTCGAGTTGCTGGACCAACCGCGCAGCTCGCTCCTCGCCCTCCTCCTGGAATCCTCGAGGATCGTCGTCGTGCATATCGCACTCGTCTTCTCCGTCGGCGAGTCGCTCGGCCAGCAACGTAATTCACTGCGGGATCGCCTCCTCGTTTCCGTCGGGCTGTCCGGCAACGGAACCGAGCCTCTCGGACAAATGGTCAGTATCTCCAGGAAGTTGAAACATCGCCGAGCACGAAACGGCGTTTGTCGGACTAGTTCGGCCGCGATCGCTCTGACCCAAGACCAATAGATCGGTTCCGTGTCCGCCTAAACAGATACAAAGACCGATATGATACATTTTAGCATTTGTATAAGTGATTGAATAGAAGTGATTAAATAGAATATACAAAGAGTTCCGTAAGTCGAGGTCACTCGGGGGATGAATAGGGACCCAAAAACAAGAAAGAAGGTTGATGTGAACATAGATCTGAAAATATGTTATTATCGCCATGTTTATGTTGAAATTGCTTTCGAATTTTTTTTTTGTCGAAATTGAAAGAAGAGATGGTCTTTGTGAGTTGTCTTTGTAATTAAAGTCAAATAAAAATTACGGGCTATTTTAGGATACACAATTATGAAGTGATCTCCTGATCTCTGCCAAGAGATGCTAAGCGGGCTGTATCTCCACGTGATGCGTCCTGCGCTAAAACAACCCCTAACTTTTATTTAACTTTAAGTATATTATAAAACTCATAAAGATCATCTTTTTTCAATTTTGACAAAAAAGTTCGATGAGTAAAGCAATTTGAAATCTCAACATAAAAATGACGATCGAAAACTCGAATACAATTCGCATTTCCGGGTCTATGTTTATACCTATGTTTTTTCTTGTTTTTGAATCCCCAATTACCTCTCGAGCGACTGATTTCCACTTTAAAAAATTAACAAAATTGTAAAACTTTTACAATATGCAGAATATTGAAATAAACAGCGAACGATTTAGAAAATGTGTTCGCTTTTAAGTCCGAATGTTTTTTCATTTTTCATTTTTTATCGAGTGTTTCATTATCGGGAATGATTTTCACTCTATCGATCACGTTGGTATATAATTACGATGCATTAAAAAGCGAAATGAAATTTTTAAGAAACCGCTCCGGCTTTCCAGAGATTTCGATTAAAGTTGGTACAAGTCAAGATAATTAATCTGTGTAATCTGATCGATAAAATCTCGATATCGAAATTTTAATACGAGTAGGAAGAGCAGTTTGACATATAGGCGAGAATGTAGGACCACCATCGATAACACTGCCGCCCGACGGTTATGTGTATTCGGATTTCATATTCTCGTACGGTAGGTATCTGGATGCTGTATGGAGTAGTCGAACGGGTCTTCTGTCTACCCGACCAGGATCGACCGTGACACACACGATTTCGCTGGCTGGCGATTCGAAAGTCGCCATCGTGTGCTCGCTCGAGTGCGCCGAATGCCGGACTCCGACAACGTGGAATTTGCTCGTTAACCACCGGCGGCGTGTCGATCATTACCATCCCCGACGGATACAAATCTCCTTGTCGCCTCGCCTGGCAGGGCGACCTTCGTCGCGCGAGAGCGGCGCGTTCGACGACACTGGCCCGATATCAGGCCCGTCTGGAAAAAAGCTCGCCGACAGGTTTGCCCATTCGTTGTCTATCTCGCGAATAACATGGAAAACCCGCTTTCGATCGAAAACCATGACGCAGCGCCGAGCTATGAGCTAGGAGAAACACCGCGCGGCAAAACGGCACGACGCGACGAGCGCTCGGCTCGGCTATAACGTTCCTCCGGCAACGGCAACGGTGCTCATCGATCCGCGATTCTAATCGCGGCTCGCGATCATCAATGGAGGGCTCTCTCTCTCTCTCTCTCTCTCTCTCTCTCTCGCATAGCTGCCGCAATTGCATCAATTAGCATCGTTATGTCGACTCAGCGTGAAAATGCCTCGTTACAATGTCGAAGGATTCGTCCGACTGACTGGCCATGCGCCGGCAAGGCGGCGTCCTTGGAGCGAGCCCGAGAAGGCGAAGGAACTCTCCTCGGCTACGAGGAGGGCGCGCGACGTGGTGGGACTCCTTGACAATGGCAGGTCATGGGAGAGCGGTGCAACAATCTCCCACGCGTTTATCATGGCAAGCGGATCGGCGAGCGGGTGTGTTGACCTTGCCTACTGGCCTTATTAAGACCTCGGTGATTCGACGGACGGACGGACGGACGGGTGTGCGTTGCGTCACGAGCCGCCCCGTTTCTCCTCCGCCTCCGCGCCCTCCTGGCACCTGGACATCCGCGGCGGCCTTGGCAAGGATGCCTCGGTCGTTTCTCGCGTCGAGCGTGCGTTTCTTCTCGAACGTGCTCTATTCCACATTCGCGTAATTCGCCGAAGCGTTCTCGTCGAAGGTTGGTCGAACGAGCGCCGCGCGCTAAGTTAAGAGAGGCTCTAATTGGATTATTTCTGCGAGGTAGAGAGGAAAAAAGCAAGGTGAAAATCTGACGCTACGCCAGGGCGAAACTCGTAAAACGAGTTTCCGAGGAGGACTCCTCGCCGCGATCCGAAAGCGGCCTCGGAGACGATGACGACGATGACGATGACTTCTTCCTCGCAAAGCGAGGAGAAATCCGCGCGCGGATTTGAATTTTGGGTGATTTTCTAGAGAAAGAGGAGGTTTCTGCCTCTCGCGGTGGATTCGCACGGGCAAAAGCCACATTCGCTCGCTCGTTCGCTCGCTCGCTCGCTCGCTCGCCGGGGATTGTATAACGCGTTAGAAATCGAATGGCGACGCTGGCGGGCCTGTAATTAGAAGTTGCAGCGAAACGGGAGCCCGCGTGGCTCACCCGGCGCACGTGAAAGTGTTTACGGCTGAGGAAACGGATCGTGCCGGAGATAAAGGCCATTTACATGTAATTACATTGCGTGGTGCGGCATATTATTCCTCCCTCGGCCTCTCTGCCGTCTTGTCCCCGTCCGTTGCTTCTCTCGTGCCTTACTGTCGTTGACGACCCCGGTTGAGGCACGCCGAGAGCGGCCGGTTCCGTCTCGTGGAACTGTGCCAAGTCGCAAACGCTTTCGGCGAGGCACACGAAAGCCTCTCTAGACCTCGAAATACGCCATTGCGCTGGTCAGGGATCGAAAGTGATCGGAGAATTTCTTTCCCGATAAGAGTCTATTCGATTTCCCTTACCAAACGGCGAAATTTGCGATGGAATTTGCGACAAATTCGTATCTCTGTCGATCTATAAAAAAAGAGTTGCGAAAAAGTTTTAATTAGATACGATACGATAATTACCCAAAAGGTGGCGAGCGATCGACCTTGCGAGTCGCTCAGAGTGAAACCCAATGCGAATGTATGCGGTTGACAGATGCTGAGTGGTGCCTGACGGAGATTCAACGCTCGCAACGGCAGTTTCATCGCGGTACCTTCGACCCACAGCCAGCCCATCCTGATGGAAACCGTCCTCTTCTCGCTCAGATCTTCCACGTACAGCTCGCCTGAAATCCAGAATGCAAGAAACACATGAGGAGCCAACTTCACAACTCGGGAACAATCGGATTAATTAATTCGCAGCGATCGAATCTCGATTCTCCACTCGGAGATTCCCCGTCGATGAACTTTCAGTTTCGTCGCGTTCAATGGCGCACGCGCCATATACGGCAAATGGCGCTATTAATATTCGCGCCGCCAGTTTCGAGATTAAGTCAGAGGAAAATCGATGATTCACGCGTTTATCGCGAACGTTCGTAACGACCGATCGGAAGAGAAGCTTTTGCATTACGTACGATTAATCGTGTCCGCGATCAAGAGAGACCAAAAAGCATATCTCGTTGACGACAATATCGTATTTATCAATCTAATGAATATTTCATCGCGGGCTACGAAATCGCGCATTGTCGGACCGCTTCGTGGAACATGAAATCGACCTCCACAATTTCGTTCTGTCTCAAATTAGCCGGTAGCCCTCGACGTAATCGATAGCCACGGCGTCGTAAACTCCGAACTCGGAATTTCGTCATTTGACTCACTCCCGAAAGGCTGCTCTTTAAAAGGCTTTACGTCACGAGCGCTCGTTACGATCCTGATTTACGACGTAAGCTCGTCTTCCACTTTGGTATAAAAAAAAAAAACAAGAGGAAAGGGATCGACGAGAGAGAACGATGATAAGGGCAACGGATCGAGAGATTGACGTCATCCGAAAAAGAAAAAACGTGGGCGATGAGCATGAGTGGTAGCATCGGCACCCCACCGTTATTTCTCGTTCATCTTGATTCAGTTTAAACGACTATCGACGAAAAACAACGTCAAACACGCCTACGTTTCTCGACATGGCACTCAGACTATTTTCGCCAGAGTCCGGGATGAAAATAGATCCTGTCGCGACGCCCTCCTGCGGTGGATGAATTCCCGTCGTCGCCTTCGACCAACCTTACGACGTCTGCGAGACAATTCGAGTCTGTCGTCCGCCGTCAGGATGGCGACAATTCGCAGCCTTCACTCGTAAATGAGGACATTTTGCCCTTGTCGACGATATTAAATTACGAAAAAAATTGCTCTTTCAACGATCCACTTGAGCGCGAGAGGATCCTTGCAATTTCTAAAATTAAAGTGTCAATTAATTAATTGCCATCGTGTTCGATGCTATTGATCAAATTCATTAAAAAAAAATTTGATAAATTCTTTTGATATGTCGTTTTTAAATGTATCAAAAAGAGATAGATTCATTAAGTGTCTCTATTATTTTTTCGAAACTTATCACAACAGCAATCTTTAAAAGACGTTTATGAGAGTAAGGCCCTGCAGGAAATATTAGAAATAGAAATAAATATTAAATTTTAAAAATGAAAATTCAGAATAAAAATTAAACATAACGCACGATGAATGAGTAAATGTAAGATATTTTATTTATTTGTATTCGTTGTATGTTACGTTTCATTCCGAATTTTCATTTCCAAAATTTAATATTTGTCCCTCTTCCTAATATTTGTAGGGCCTTGGGAAATAACACACTATCAAAAGGAAATAGTTATATTAATGGGATACTTGGGATACTCCTCCGTTCGATAGTAGCATCGAAATCGTTTATGCTGTGAGATCCTCCACCTGCATTCCTTCTTCACGTAGACGATTGTCGACGAATACCACATATAGAAACAATTTACGACACGCCCTTCATCCGGAAATATTCTTTTTCACCAGAACGAAAATGGCTCGCCCAAACAATCTCGTCGATTAACCCTTTGTTCCCCATCGAGTGGTTAGGTAACCCTACTCGTTTCGCTTTCTTACGTTGTCGCCTTTATTACGACAGACAACAATGGAGAGTCTAATCCCAGGGAAAATTAGTCTCAAAGATTGCCGTAGGTGCAAGAGGGTCATTGGGTTTTATTTGTCGTAATAGCGTCAACTAATCGCGCGTCGAAAGCTGAGTTAATAATTAACGTTGGAAAATTGAGAATTGGTATATCGTCAAGCATTTAGCTTGGCGGTACACGCAGAGAACGATTTCTTTGAATTTAATAAATTTTTATTAGATTAGAAAGAAATTTATCGAAACAATGTTTAATCTAGCCGAAGTATTATTTTGTTCAAAGATAAATTTTATTTCCTTCAAATAATAATGTTTTTTTCCATTAAACAACAAGGTATACTCTAATAAAACAAAATAAAATCTAATAAAACGAACCTCTTAATTCAAAAAGTGATGCTTAATATAAAATTATATTGTTTAGATAAATTCAAGTCAGACAAGTAGAATTGCTAAATCTGCAGAAATCTTTTTCTCATTTACCCACGAATTTCTGCAGTAATTGCAAAATGTATATCGGTCATGACATAAAAGCTAGCAAAATTCAGCATCTTTTGTATGCACGTTTGGGAAGGGGAATAGCAGTATATTTATGAGTATACCTATGTATCTTTTGAATATTAAGCGTGGAAATATCGTGATGGTATCATCGGAGTGAAAGCGCCGCTATTTTTACGATATGAAATTTGCATCGAGAATGTAATTATCTCCTCAATAAAATGGTTTGATGTTCGGTAACATTGTGACTGCTGAAACTCGCGAAGCGATATAACTGATGGGACTATTTTTATATTTTCTCATATTTCTCTCTCGTATTTTTTTTTTTTTATTTTATCAATGAACGAAAAAAATTACGATTTTTAAATAAATTCCGTAATATCTCTTATCGATTATACAGATATTAAAATTGCTTTTACGAAAGTCTCGCGATGTATGATAGCAAGATTTATGATATGATGTTACAGATTTTACTTCACTTTTCAATTACAATTTTGTTTCTTTTTATCAGAGTTTCCAATTGATTCGAGTGATCGATGTTTCTTTAATTCGAGGACATTAACAGACCACGAAGCAAAGGTGGGTGAAGGCAAATTATGTCTGCTTTTGCAGATTGTGCGGATGTTACAAATGATGCGGTACCTTTTATGATGATTTTCACGCCAGTCATAGTGAGTCACTATAAATTCATGGTCATTTCATTTGTCTACGCCGACAAAGCTCTCTACGCGTGAGATTTTTCCACGAACGCGTTACGAAGTACTGACTCATCGGCAAGTCTCGCGAAGTGAACGCTAAAAAAAATTTTTTTTTTAAAGCGGCCAAGCGCATCGATTGCACCAGCAATTGTATCATTCGAAAACGTTGATTGCTCTAATTGCGGAAGAGGCCATAAAGTTTCTATTAAAACTCGCGCGATGCCCGGTCGAAGGTAACGTTTCGAAAGAGATACTGTTAATTCGACGAAGTCCCGCTCGAGAAGTCTAAAAAGTCTTGAAGAAATCTTCGAACAAACGTTTTGACAGCTTATGTGGCCGAGGCACATCTCCGGTTTAGGTTTTCTCCTCATAAATCTTAGTTTTCTAGTCGAAAAACCACATTCTTGGGAAGCTCTCGAGCGGGAAACGCCGAGCCGAACACCCTTGAGAGCTGAAGGCTCTCCGAAAGAAAACAGCGATGTCCGCTCTCACGGTCCATTAAGCTCCAGAAAGCGAGCGTGTCACGTTCATACGTGTGAATGATCCATAAATAAAGTGGTCGTTTCTAAACCCGCATCCTGCCGTTTTCTGAAAGCTTCTTGGACAAATGTATCAGACCGTTACTCAGAATGTACCGCGAAAGTCTGTGCATTAAATTTAAAGTCGTTTTTAATTTCTTTCCTGATGTACAGCGACATATATTATTTCTATGGTTTCTCCTATATTCTATTTTTTTTTTTTTTTTCGATATATACCATACCAATAGTGACAGGAATTATAGTTATTTCTCACAACGCGGGGAGATACGAAGAAGAGATACATTTGACATATTTCATGAGAAATATATGTGATACCAACAAGATGAGACTAATCTGGATCATGCATTTCTTAGTTCTGTGTGCAAAACTCTTATCTTGGCATTACAAGGCATTACAAGTAGGAAAAAAGGAAAGTCGAGCGACACTGCCGTGCAATTGCAGAAGAACAATGACGCGTCGTATTGTATCGTCGGAACTCTCTCTTTCCGCAGAGAAGCATCCGTGCCTGAGCGAACACCAAAGAAATGTGCGACTATCCGCATGCATAATTATTTTCGCAAGGATTAATCCCCCGGCCATTACCATGACCAGAAGAGTGACATTCGTCTGTTACCAGTTGCTTCGAATTGCTAATAAAAAATAAATGTTTATTTTCTCATTTCATTTCTCTCTTTTATTTAACAAACAAAAAGAAAAATTTATTATTTGCAGTTGTTATACGAATTGTTGTATTTGATTAAATTCTGATCACATGATAAAATATTCCCGAGTTGTTGGATATAGACCGGAGGAGACATTTGTCTATTACCAGCAAATTCCAAATTTTAATAAAAATAAATATCACTATGAAAAGTAAAAAAAAATTCATACGAATTGTTATAAAATTGAATTAATTAAATTCTAATTCACACATGATAAAATATTCTTGAGCTGGATATACAATTGTTAAACATATCCGCGATATGCAGTATGCCGTAGGCATCTTTCCATATTTTTTTCTTGGTACGTGGATACCAAGTGGCAGAGTTGCCATGCCGAAAAGTTTAGGTTTAGCGTGAATCTATGAATATGTACAAGGATGATGGTGGACATGGTTGCGCATGGTTGCGCGGTAGCGACTTAATGCACTTAATGACTGCACGTTTCATTCCGCCCCTTGCGGTTGGCCCACGTCGCGTAAAATTCAGAAAGCCGTTTGTAGGATCCTAAGATAAGAATGTCTGTTCCATCTACCGGGTGAATCTTTCGAATCATTAAACTTGTTGAATCGACCGATTAATCATCGGTTACGCTAATTCTTCAACAACGAGCAGCGTGGAAGGGAACGTATGCAAGCAAAAGTATACCGGCAAAAAGCTGTAAAGCCGACTACTCCGAGGCAGGAAGAATCTTACGGTGATCCCGGGGTCAATGGTGGAAAGGTTTCCGAGGGAAATGCAAGGACGTAGGACCTC